ATAGGTCTGAGAACTAAGGAAACTGTTTCAACACTAAAGAAGCAAAGAACACCTGCTTGTTGACTGAGTCTCCTGCCACAGGTGGCCTGGAAAGCCTGCCAGCTAGCTAATGCCATCCACCTGCATGGGGCCTTATGAAGATAAGCCCATTGATGTCCACAGGGGCTGCCCTCACACAGGTGGGAATTCAGAGAAATGTGAAATCGGAAGTGGTTTCTCTAGTGAGTTATCATGAATGGGTGGAGAGACCAAAATTACGGTGTTCTGGACAAGACAAGCATGGCTTGCTTGCCAATAAAATCAATTCACCTAACAGATGTATCGAATAGCTAGAGATATTAGGTGGACACCTGAGCACATGGAGTGAACTAATGGAAAGGGTTGTCCCTTCTACTACACAGAAAGAGAGAGAGATGCTGGAAAACATATAGTAAAAACACATTTCTAAAACTATGTACAATTGGATTTAGGGAAATTGGCTAGAGAAAAGTCCCACCCAGAACAGTAGGCGGGAGCTGGTACATAGCGAAATGTCAGGGTCTCACATGAAGATCTGGGACCCAGGGCTGGAGGTGAAGATTCCTACACCTTAGTGAGGACAGGAGCATGTTTTGAGTTGTGAGAAATGACACATGGGAAAGGATCTTGTTATGGAACTGGATGTGCTGAAGTACAGTACTGTGGTGTTTATGAATGGGGGACAAGAAATCCCTCTGTCCATCACTTGGGGATGTGGAAAGAAGCCTGCCCGCTGCCCTGGCACCCTCCACCCAGTGGGCCCACAGCCCCTCCTATGAGTGAGTGAAGTCTGGGCTTTCCCAAGCTGTGCTGCAGATGACTCCAGGCTGAGACATGACACAAACTCAGGTGGGACCAGGACAAGGAAAGATGGTCATTCTGTGATGGCCCCGTCACCTGAGATCTTTTTTTTCCCCCATAAGAACAGAAAAAGAAAGATCAGTTGAAGATGAACAAACAATCCAAAACCAGAGAAGGACTCAGTAGCAGAAAGAGAGGGACAGACAGAGACAGAAAGAGACATAAAGACAAAGAAGACAGAGAGATAGAAAGATTCACAATGAGGACAGAACATGAAAAAGCAAAAGAAATCCTTAAGGCCCTCTAGCAGTAGAATAATCCAAAAGAATCAACTAGACATATTTAAAGTCATTGAGGATAGAAAGCCATCATCACAGAAGAGAATACAGGAGAGGAAAATGTAGCAGAAGTGGGTGTGGAAAGGAGATTCCCACAGGGAGGAAAAACAGAAAGGTGGCTGTTTTTGAGGGCTGTACAGCCTATGGGAGACAGAGAAGACAAACCATGACAAGTCAGCCTAGAAGAAGCACAGGACAAGATCTTCCAGAGAAAGCACACTAGATCTGGCCTTCCCAGAGGAGATAACATTTGAACTAAGGCCTGAGTCACCAGGAAGAGAGCTTTTGCCATCTAAGGCAAAATTTGAAATGGCACATTCATGGGTCGTCACAATCCTGAAATCAAAATTTGAAATGGCACATTCATGGGTCGTCACAATCCTGAAGGATGAGTAGGAGTTCACCAGTTGAAGGGGAGCTGGAAGATGTTCCCAGCAGAGAGAACCTAACACAGAATTTGGATTTCACATTGGAGTCAGAGAGGAGCCACTGTACATGGGGAGTGGCATGACCTGATTTATGTTTTATCAGGGTGGCCCTGGGGCAGTAATGACAACAGGCAGGGCATGGGGGCAGCAATTAGGTCCAAGTGTGTTTAGAAGGGCAGGCAGGTGGGGATGAGGTGGATTGAACTAGATGGGCTTAAAAGGGAAAGGAGGGCACAGTGAGAATTGAGGATGGCATCTCGCTTTTTAGTATGAATAACAGACTGAATGGGACACTGTCTTTGGGCAAGATCCAGCAGAGAATGAGCCATCTGGTGAACACACCCTACATGTGCGCTTGCTGAACAAATGGTCTTAGTGGAGTGAAGGATTCACAGCTAAAAGGACATATCAGTTGACACTATATTTCCACCTTGATCTACACATGTGACCTACCATGTCCTACCCCTGTTCCAGTGGCCACTAGGAAGCATTCACCTCCGTTCCTCCAGGGGCCATGAATATTGGGCCTCTCCCCACTCTCTCCAGCCACTGCCAACTCTACTCTGATTCTTCATTAATTTCCTTAGTTCTTTCTTCATCATTTTAGTAACATGAAAATTTCCATTCAGTGGTACTATACTTTTCCACCATGAATGGGGGTAATATTTTCATTTGTATTTTAAAGCCATCAGCCTAAGATTTATCTCCAGTAATACCTGTTGTGGTCTTTAATGCTCTTAAAGCTTGCCCTAAGCGATAAGTTTTGTAATAAAGGAATGCTGATAATCATTTAAGTGTCTTTCATGGGGGAAAAATAGGAACTTTTTATTTCCATCATGGTCAAACTTGAGTTCTTTGATGGAGCAATCGGAAGGATGTAAGTTATTAAAGGCTAAGGATGCTGCTAGTTTGTAGATGTTTTCAAACAAGTCCCCTGGTTATTCAGAGGACACTTTTATATTCTAGGAAGATCCATATTTGTGTTCCTTTTCATGTTGATTCTTACCTGACTTACAGAAAAATATAACTTGTGTAATTGCAGGGAACAATATTTAGAGCCATGGATTGTTCGGAAGTAAAGGGACCTTGAAATTACTGTCCCTGACTGACATTGGCAGGAGCTGGGGACTGCTGCTTGCTGGGTCACACTGTGAGCAGAAGGTCTCCATAGAGCAGCGGTATGCAGTACAGTTAGATTTGTGGGCAGGGTGACCTGTGCAGTTTCAGGGACCCCATGTTGTGAAATTCACAGCATCACTATGCTGAAATTCTTTGTAAGCACTGAACAAAGTGCTCCAGGTCTGCACTGGGCCCTACAAATTCTACATCTGCAGGGAGGGTACTGCACTGTATATGGGTTTTGGAGTCAGACAGACTTAGGCTGAAATTCTGGAATTTTCTGTGATTGACCATGCCCTGGTTTCCTTATCTACAGAACTGGGATAGTAATACTATGGCTCTCTTAGCTCTAACATGAGGGGAGAAAACAACAGAAGTCTAGCACCCAGGGAGGCCTGAAGGGTGGTGATAGACACTGACATATGCTCCTTTCCATATGCAGAACCCGTAATTAAGTTTATTATGATGACTTTATTTCAAGAACATAGGCAGACAATAGAGCAACCTCAGGCATTCTAGTTAGGATCACACCAAGCAAAGGACATTTTCCTAAGCAGGACCTTCTAAGACTGGGGTCCCATTCATGCGTTGTCAACCATTATACTGTTATTTAAGTGACAGTTAATCCTCACTCACAATGTATAGTTTCAATTTTATGATTATGACATGCTTCTCTCCTCTCTGGAGACTTCTCAAGAAAGCCAACAAGTGCCCCTGGCTTTATTATGAAGATGCCCATGATCTCGGTAAGTTGTTTGAAAACTTTCATTTTTCAACTATTATTTGTAGTACATGGATTTCAACACCCTACAGCACAGAGCCAGCCAGGCTTCTAGGTCTCACAATTCCATGCTTGAGAATCAGGAATGTGAGCTCTGAGGATCCCAGACAGGCCAGACCAACCAGCACCAATATGGTGCCTCTCTGACTTTGCTATGGTTGGAAGAAGTGACGTCACTGATGAGGCATGTCTGCTAGCCTCAGAGGAATAGAGTAGTTTTAGATGGCTAATCCTGTGATGAAAAGCACACAATCTTAAAACATCTAGTCAAACTTCTAAAGTCTCTTTTGTGGAAAAAGATACATCAAATAAGAAACATAAGTTTGTTCTTGGGCATTTTTTCAACTCTGATCCCAAAGCATTCCTCAGGGGATTATAAGTTGATCCCTGGTGACCTTTGCTGCTTTCACTTTGGTAAGATCTGTGGGAGCTTGGAGTTCAGATGGCAGCTTTAAAAGGAAGCACTGGGGGTCTTGGCCATGCTCGCCCCATGGCACTGCTCAGGTCCCAGAGCACACACAGCAGGACACAGGGGCACCCATGCATCTGGCCTACTTGCATCCTTCTCAGGAGAGGTGGCTAGAAGCACAAGGAGGACTGTGACAGGACAGCACCCAAGCACAGTCTTCTTCCTTCCTCTTTCCTCTAAAATACTCAGTGGACAATGAGACATGGCTGCCACAGTTCTCTCAGGTCAGAGGGGCTTTTGTGGGTTGTGACAGCGGATGCCAGACAGGGGCCTCTATAGCAAGCCACCATTGAAAAACAGCAACTTTTCTCTAAGGCCCTCTCTGGTACCAAGCAGATCAGGATTTTAGGGAGGCACCATGACACTGCCAGCCAAATAAATTGATACAAAGCATGGGCCTTTCCTCTCCTATCTCTCAGTGGTAGGCATGGGCTTAGACAATGAGATGGCTCCTGAGCCCACGTGACCTGATGTACAGAGGACGCTTCAAGACACAGTGATGTTGACGAATGACCGGCTAATTCATCAAATGCCTCAAGACATAGCTGCAAAAAGCATGTGCCAATACACAAATGTGTACTTTTGGAAATGGCAATTTGGCTTAGACAGCTTGAGCATCACTCTCTACCTCCAAGGATTATAGTAAGAAAGCCATAAATCACTGTGTCAACTCCCAGGAGACCAGAGACATAGCATTCCAACAACAGGGTAACAGCAGCAGCTTTTAGCACAGGCCAAAGAACACATGCATCCAGTCAGGAAAAAATCCGAGACATCACAATAGGCATTTGTGGCCCACGTTCTACTTTACACAAGGCCCCCCAACTCAGCAAACAGATTTTTCTCCCACCACACTACACTGTAAGTTTCAAGCTCCTGGAAAAGAAACCCAAGCACTGCTTTGACTGCATTTCTGGGTTTTAATTAATCTACGATTGTTAATTCTTGTTGCTGAATTTCTCCCTCCCATTTCATGGGTGGGCCCAATTCTGAAGCTGTTTTGTTGGTGTTCCTGGGTTTTGCTGATTTTCTGATTTTGTTCTTACCTGTTGCCGAATTTCTTCCTCCATTTTCACTGGTGAGCCCAACTCTGCGACTTGTTTGACACCTTCGCTGGCGTACCCGCCATACTCCCACAGCACGTAATTCTTGGAGTGAGATCCACCAATGATCGCAGACCAGTGGTTGGCCCGACCTGGGAATCAAGAGGCAGACATCAGTGGTGCTTTTGCAAAAATGCAAGCTCCTAGTCACATGGGGAGAAGACACTCTCTCAGGCTTTCACAGAGAGCACATTGGCCAAGCAATGGCCGTGACTCATCCACATGGATAAAGGTTCTACAATCTGAGGTACAGGATCTCAGGACAAATCCTGAGGGCATTTCACTGACCTTCTCAGACCAAAAAGCTACAACTCTTGTTGCATAGGTCCTGCTTTACCTTGGTCTTAACCATCCAGTAGAAAAGTATGAAGTCGAAATATAAGAAATAAAGCCATGCTGTTAAGTTGAGCTGTGGGGGACTCAGGTCAATAATTTCTGACATTGCCAGTTAAACAGAAGACCCAATGCTATTATGGGCTACTGGACTCTTTTAGAATATTTTGCTGAGTTTACACACCTATAATATTCAATAACGGAACTTAGAAAAAATGGGGTATACCGATGAATGTCCATTTTGTATCTGTGTATTCAAAGAGGTTGGGATAGATATATAGTTGCATTCTGTTAATGAATAGAATGATTTGTTCTAATGGTGTTTGTAAATGGGATCACAAGTCTACATCTTGTACAGCAATTAACCACTAAGAAGAATATATGCAGTGTATTATTTGTTGAAACTGTACTTCCAATTTGATTTGAAACTGTCTCATTGCTATCTGTTTATCAATAAAACTTTGAAAAAAAAAAGAAATGCAAGCTCCTTATGTAAGGGAGAGGAGGAGTAAGTGGACAATGATTCAACCAGCAGCTAGGGGCTATTCTGTCATAAATGCATCATTATTCAATGATAAGGCAAAGTCCCCATTAACAATACATCTGGGAGGCTGGCCAAATAGCTCACCAGATTAAAACACCTGCGAGCAGGCGCAGGGAACAGGGGGTCAATCCCCAGATTCATGGTGCCGGTCTCGTCCCCAGGGCTCTCTGAGACAGTGACTGAGACTGGGTGTAGTGGTGTGTGCCTGTAATCCCAGCACTTAGGAGGCTGTAAACAGGAGGATCACTACAAGTCCGATCTAGTAGTGAGACCCTGAACACCGTGTCGACCCTTCCCTAAAATACAGAAAAAAAAAAAATTAAAAAAAAACAACAACAATAAATCTGGGACATGTGCAGCCTTGTCAGCAGCAGATGCCTGAACAAAACAAGGAGGCAGCCTATGCGTACCTTCTTTCTGGAAGGGTCTTACAGAAGGGGACCACTGAGAGAATTTTAAAAGGCAGATCAGATGTGTAAGGTAGACTTGGAAGGAATGCCATTCCTGCCAGACTCGGAAATACTAAATAACATTGTGGTTCACTGAGTTCTCAGTAGCTCAGCAGAGCTGTGTCACAGGCCATCAAGGGGAGAGTTAGAAGGTGATGCCAGGGGGGTGGAAGTGGTCTGCTGGTGAGTGGCCTTGCTCTTAATGCTTCAGGAATTTGGATGCCATTTGAAAGGATTTGAAAACCACTGAAGGGTCCTGAGCAGGGGAGTGACATGATTGCATTTGAATTTTAGATAAATCCTCCAGGCAGCAGCATGAAGAGTGAGCAAAATTGGAATGGAGAGCTGGGAGGTAAGCAATGGGCAAAAACTAAGGGGTGGATGTGGGAGACAGAATCAGGCAATTTGCAGCACTAAACATGGCTTTACAAAAAAATCATTTACTTATTTATCTGGTACAGGGTCTCACTACGCAGATCAGACTCATAGCGGTCCTCCTACCTATCTCAGCCTCCCAGCACTGGGATTACAGGCATGTGCCACCATGCCTGATTTTGGTGGCCAGAATGCAGTACTGGGGATCGAACTTGAGTCCTTGTGCTTGCTGGGCAGGCACTTAGACTGCTAAGCTATCTCCCCAGCTCCTAAATGTGGCTCTTTTAGCTATTATGTATAGTCCAGTGAGAGAGGCAGGCAGCCTAGACATCCTTTAGGAGTGGGATAGCCAGCTTGGCTATGTGGACATGATCAGTCCACAGTGGTATGGCGCTGACGGATGGGATGGTTGCAGTAGTGGATGTTAAGAGGAAATCAGTGTAAGACCCAGGCCTGAGCAAAGTAGAACTTGACTCGGGGATTTTGTCAAAGTCAACACCAGCATCATACTGGATTTGTTTTACATACAGTGAATATAAACTTATCCATAGTTCTCGGTGAATGAGTACATACAGTTCACCATAGCATGTACTCCATTTTCAGCCATTCTTTAGTTTTACAGAATCTCAAGTTAAAGAACATTTTCAGGCACAGCCAAGGGGAAAGTTTGAATTGGGCGGACCCAAGTGACAGTTTTGGTTCTTCCACCTGGGGCCTAGTGTGGATGGAATGCCTCCCTCCATCTCTCTGTCTGCAGAACGGACTCCAAGTGGGGCTTGGCCCTGCGCATAGAGCTGCCACTGCTACCCCTGGGCCTTCGGGGCAGGCTGCACTCTCCCGGCCTACTGAGCACAGCACGTCCCCGCACAGGCAGACCACGTGTGTGTCTGCCCGACTGCTCGCTCATTATTTCCCGCATATCAGAGGACGCACACACCACATCTATGTCTCAGGCCCTAAAGATAGCTGGACATGCTGCCCGCTACTTCTCTAGCCCATGTCCTGGGTGGTAGGATGTCTTAGCTGTGAACCCAAGCTGAGAGCGTACTTGTGCAGGGCGAAGGGTGGTAGCTTGTTGTGGCCTCTGGTCATGATGTGAACACAAGGCGACTAGCTGTGGCAGCCCCTGTGCCATGTGCTGTTCTGCTGAAGTAGCTCCTTATTCCAGGCTGTCGTACAGCAATTCTGAGCTTCCGTGGCTCAGCACGTGCCATTCCCATGATGCTTTCCTCTAGCCTGGGCTGGCCCGCTTTCCATTCTCCATGATCTATCTACTCATGAGATTCCCAGGGCTGGCCACGCTTGTGTCTCCTGTCTCCCTGCTGCCTGGGTCGCATTGCCCATCCCTGTCACAGTCTGTTGTTCCCCTGGACTGGGGTGTCTGTCTTCTGCGCTCTACCTGATACACCGTGGACACTCAGTACATGTTTCCAGAAGCTTCTCCAGGCCGCCAGTTGGGAAGGTGGCGGCACACGTGCCTGCAGCATTGAACTCAAGATGAGATTAAATTTAAGATTCAGTTCAGTGGAGTTCCTGACATCTGCTAAGTTAAAGAACCCAGCTATCTTCTCTGCTGTTAAAAAATAAAAGGCAGTAAAGCATGTGCCTAGCATCTGTGAGACCCTGGGTTCTACCGCCAGTACCTCAAAACCAAACTGAATAAAAACAAACAAAAGACAACATGGTAAAAGAAAGAAACTGTTCTTAGCACAGCAGGAATTCAAGTCCTAACATTGCCACTTATTAACTGTATAAATTTGGTCAAATTCAATTACTTTTTTTTCTCTGAGTTTCAGCTCTCTCCTTTGTCATTCAGTGATGATAATGCCAAGCTTCTAGGTCTATTATGAGAATTAAATTAAATTATTTTTAAAATGAGATAACGTATGTGAAATCACTACCGGCACAAAGTAGGCACTCAATAACTTCGGCTCTTTCTTTTCATGACTGTTGGGGGGGGGGTGCTGCAGAAATGAGCAAACCATGAAACCTGATCTTAGTTCAGTATCAGCGGTAAGAATATGTATAGTATGGGCCACAAGAAGAGACAAGCACAGGCACGGGGGGCTTTGAGGGGAACGCAGTGGGTGTTCCTGGTTTCCTCATTCAAGTTCCGTCAGCTATGTGCCAAGGGCAGTAGCAGGCCATAGACAGTGACAGGAGTGGGACATGGCACCTGCCCCGAAGGGACTCACAGTCTGGGGGTGAAGGAAACAGATGGAGAAGCAGATTAATGACGATGCAGCCTATCAGGGATGTAACAGAACAAGAATGCAGGGCACAGGGGTGGCAGAGCTAACTCCAAGTTCTCTAAGTCCAAGGAACCAAAGTCCAAGGCACGTGTACATGGAAGTGGGCACACGAGTAGGAGCTGTCTTCAAGGTTCTTACGCTGCATACAATCTCATCATCCCAGCTCGGCCTTCCAGGCCAACACAGTGGTTAGTTTCCTGCAACGACGTCCCAAAGAACATATTAAGTCAAACTTCTATGCATTTAAGGGCATCAGACAAAAAACCTGGTAGGTAAGAAGCACTTTACGAGGGGGAGCATAGGTCTAATCTTCCCTAGAGGGGACAAAGTAGGGATAAGTGGAAAAATAACTGTAACTCTGGGATAGGTGTGGAAGACAGGCGAGTGGCAGCCCCTTAGGAGCACAGTGCTTCTGGTGGGAGGAGGCAGGGTGATATGCGGCAGGAAGGCTTGGTTCCATGCCCCCACTGGTGCCCACGAATCAGTGCTGCTACCTAGAACCAGGGCTTCAGCTCCCTGCTCCTAACACAGGGCTGGGGTTTGAATCCAGAACCTCTTGCACGCTATGCAGAAATGCTCCCAGCTACAGATTCAGCACCACATTCTTCTTAAAAAACAGGGAGAACAGTAACAAGATAGAGCTACTTACTGCAGCTGAGAAAATTTAATTGCACTGATTTTTGGAAAGGACTGTGGAAAGCAAAAAAACTGTACAAAACAAAGGACTCAGTGGTATTTTAGGTATAAGGCACTGCAGGAATTCCACATGACAAATTCAAAAGAGAGTGGAGGAGCAAGGACAGGAAGGAGGGCTCCCCAGGACAGAGAGAGAGAAAGAGAAGGGAGGACAGCAGGCCAGGTGGGGAGACTGGCAGGAGAAGGGATTTCTTTAGTGACACAGATAAGATGATCAAGCACCTCTTTTTTATTTTTAACATTTTTATTTATTTGTTACTGGGTCTCACTATGCAGCTCAGACTTGTAGTGATCCTCCTGTTTCAGACTCCCTAGCACTAGGATTACAGACGTGCACTACCACGCCCAGTTTCAGTGGCTGGCTCGGCGCAGGGTCCTTACACTTGCCAGGCAGGCACCTAGACTGCCGAGCTATCTCCCCAGCCCTCAAGCACCTCTCAGGA